GTTTTTCTTGATTCATTTTTTTTTCGGAAATTTTCAATGTAACCACCACTGTGTTGCCACTGATGAAGATAGTTGTTCCAAAGAATATGAATGAATTGAATTGAAAAAAAAGAATATTTATTATTGATAATATGATTAAATATTAATTATGTAGAATTCATATTGATTTTTTTGCCATCTTTCTTTTTATCAAACAAAAAAATCCGAGAGAATAGCGTAATCGTTTTTTTCAACTTTTTTTTTCGGTGACTGTCATCGATCAATGTTTGGTTGGTTGGTTGGTTGTGTATATTGAAACAACATTCCGGGTTGGAAAAAGAAGGAGGGTGAAATAAAAAAATCTGATTCAAGATTTGTTTTGGTAAAATTCTGTTTTTGTCTCGTTTTTTTTTTGTTGTTGCATGAATCTTTTCGTTTCGCGAAATAAAAAGAAAAGAAAAGGCTGAGAGGAAATAATAATAAAAAATCAAAGCTAAATTAACAACAACAACAACAAAAACAGGGAAAAAATGTCATAATAATTGAACTGGGGAATAAAAACAAAAAACAATTCGATGGCACGAATAAGGAATTTCCAATATCTTTGATTTTTTTTTTGTTCTGTGCGTTGATTGGCGTTCCATATTGATGGTGGCGATGATAATGATTATTATTTTCAATGTGATCAGAATGAAAATGAAATTCTTTGTCTCTTGTTTTCTATTCTTTTTTTGATTCTGTCCATTCATCATTTATTATTGTGCAAAAAAAAAAAATGTTGATGATGAAAAATTATCATTGGTTTTGTTCTTGTTTTGTTTTTGTTTTTGTTCATAATTTTTGTTTTTCTAATTTCCCAATCACAATGAAAAAAATTCGATTATCACATGGTCAAATATGGATGATAATTTTAATTGCTAAACTTTCAATGATCAAAATTAATGATTAAGTGAATGGTTTTTTTTCATTTCCCTTGTTTTTTTTTTGTTTTCCTGGTTATTTTCGTTGTTTAATTTTGGTTTTTTTTTTCGTTCCAAACAATTTCTTTTATTATTACTTCTTCTTCCTCAATGTGTAATAATCAATATTGTTATAAATTGAATGTTTTTTTCATTCTGTTTCTAAGAATCATATATCATCGGGTAAAGCCTAAGGCAAAAAAATAATACACCTTTCGGCCAAACGATTTGTTTCTCTTTAATTTGTTTTTGGATAAAAGTTTGTTACTTGCTTGCTAATCGAGCAAACAAAATCATTCATTCATTCTGAATGATTCAAGAATTCCAATATATAAACAAAAGAAAAAGAAAAAGAAAGAAATAACATTTGAAAACGTTAAGGAAAGTGAATACAAACATGCAACAACAAAATTCTGTTACAAATCCGATTTAATCGTTTTCGTTTTTTCCTTTTTCGAAAATAATAATAATAATCATAATAAAAATAAAACCGTGAATTTGGTTTTTCTAATTCTTTTATGAATTGAATATAAACGACAACAACAAAAAAGCCAAAAAGAAAGAATGTATCCAGTTAAACGAAAAAGAAAAAAAATGCAACCTAGCCAAACAAACAAAATAAAATGAAACAGAAAAAAAACAATGATTGTCTCGAAACAAAAAAACAATTAAAACAACAACCCAGAATAAAATTCCAAAAAAAGAAAATGTTTATGGCAAAAAGAAGTGAGCAAAAAAAAACCCGAAAATAATTATGATGATAATAAAAGAAGAAAGAAAAAAACTACAGGCAAAATGATTGTGAAAGAAAATGATGATGATGATGATGATAATAATAATGAAATGAAATCAGCTTCGAAAAACAAAAATTCCGAATAATGGTTACTATGAAAAAAAACCCAAGGATAAGAAAAAATGAATGTATGGAAAATAATAACATCAGAATCTGTTTTAGAACAAAAAATAAACACATAAATTCGAATGTTTTGGTTCACTTTCTGTACAAATATTGCTGAATTGATGAGATTGAGAAAAAAAAATGACGATAAATAAAAGAGTGAGAGAGAAAGAGTGAAAATGAGAAACAAAACAAAACAAAAAAAAAACCGAATAACCGACGACCAAAAAACAAAACGATTAAATATTCAATTCATTTGGCAAAATGAAAGAAATGAATCCTGATTTGGTTTGTCGAAGAATTTATTATTCTTGTTTTCATTTTGTTTGTTTGTCAAATTGTCCAAAAAAAACAAACAGTAACTAGTAACGACTTCTGGTGGACATTGTTAAAAAGAAACACCAATTTCTTTGTTGTTCCGTTACTTTCGTAACCGAAAAAAAAATTGTTCAATAAAATCAATTGTTACCTCTCTTGCTGATTCTTTGTTTAACAAGAATACAATTGAAGCGTTAGTAGAAAAAACTGAATTCTTCACTTTGTTTTGTTTTCCAATGACAATATATGATTCTTGAAAAAGAAAAAGAAAAACAAAAAAGATTGATTACTAATTCAATGGAAACAAAAATTCTTATCATTATAATTCATTTTACAGAAAAGTTTTTGTTGTTGTTTTTGTTTCTTTCATAAGTTTTTTTTTGTTAACCATATTCATGTTTAACAATGATCAAAACAAGAAGAAAAAAAACAATTATAATTTACATATACCTAAAATTCTGTAAGGAAGGAAAATCATTCTATTCTTATCATTATAATCTTAAGCTAATTAATTAACTAAAAATTTTCTTTCTGATTAATATTATGGGTTGTTTTGTTTGCAAACATTCCCTAGTGTGATTCTTTGTCTTCTTACTGTCGTTTTCATTATCATTTATGTCAAGAATTTCATTTTAGCATTTTTTTTTCTTCTTCTAAATTCTCTTTTTCAATTTATCATATATAATGTTTTTAATGATTAATCAGATCAACAAAAAAAGGTTGTTAGAAAGTGTGCCTATTGATTTTTTGTAATTTTTCATTTTGGTTTTTGTTGTTGCTTGTTTTTTGTTACTTGAAATGATCGACAAGGAAGAAGATTCATTGTTTTATAATGATTTTTTATGTTCGGAATGAAATTTTTTTTTTTTGGTTGTGAAAAAAAAAGACAAAAAAGTTTCCGGGAAATCTTATCAATTTTTTTTGTGTGGATATTTTCTATCGTAACAAAATGTTATTTTTTTTGCCATTCATTTTTTTCGTTGCCTGTCATTTTTTTTCTGTCGTTTTTTTATCTATTGTACCATTCTTTTTTTGGGAAAAATAAAAATAAAAATGGTACATTCTTTTGCCTGTCACAATGGTATCGACAATCACAACAACAACAAAAAAACATTCCAATGATTTTGAAGAAAATTTCGTAAACTTTTTTTTCGGATGACAAAATAAAACAGCAAAAAAAAAAAAAAATAATAATAATAAAAACTGAATCGAGATAGAGAAAATTTATTACATTTTTACGTTTAGAAGAAAATCGATTGTCTTCTTATTCTTAGATGAGCGAAAATTCTGTTGAAAAAAATGAATTTCTCTTTTTCTCTTCTTCAATTCACCGATGTTGATTTGTTTGATTGAATTTGGTGGTGTGAAAGATAGTATCAAAAAGAAATGAAAATGAAATTCTTTTTTTTCTGTGTGTATTCTCAAGTTGGTCTGCTTTAAATAAAAATTTTTTTCATTCTACCAAAATTCGATCCATTTCTACAACAGAAACAGAAAAAATGATGGTTTTTTTTGCCAACAACCAAAGAAAAAAAAATATTCATATGAATCTGTGCGGTACTTTCTAAATACAAATGTTTGCATTCTTTTTCTCTTTTCTCGATTCGATATTCTTGTTTAGATGCTTAAAGCATATTTTTATTCATTCATTCCACACAACAACAACAAAAAAATCATCTGCTTTTCTTATTCTTTCGATTCTTTTCCATCAATTTTTTCCCATTGTTAGTTTCGGAATTTTCTCAACTTTTTGTTTTTCTCCCCCATCCTTCATCTTACATCTAAAAGATGAAATTTTTTTTTCTTTCTTCTATCATCATCGTCGACTGTTTTTCTTTATTCTGTTTTTTTTTCGGCATCATTTTCGATAATATATCGTCAAGCAAGCCAGATGAAAAAAAAGAATTGCCTAAAAAAAATAAAATATCATTCATCGTCATATGCATGGTTGTTTTCGTTGTCGACATTTATTCATATATGCAAAACGAATATTAAAAGTGTGAGAGTGAGAGAGAAAGAAAAAACGAACAAAGAAAAGAATTTGAAATATCAAATGCAACAAAAAAAAACAACAACAACAAAAACCAAACACAGAATATGGAAATTCTTTATTCTATACTTATATTGAACATAAAAATAACAGAGTGTACACACACAACTTTGAATCAAACACAAAGAATGCATTGAAGAAGAAGGAAAAAAAACTGCTGAAAACAATCACCCACACAAATAAAACAAAACAAAAAATCGATGATAAAATAACAGCATCAACAACAAAGGGATGGGAAAAAAATTCCCAGAATCAAATTCAAATGCTTTTGTTGTTTTTGTTTTCTGGAGAAATTTTTCCCATCATCATTCAATGTTCTATCGAACTTCAAGTTTTTTATCTATTCGATTCTTTTCTCTCTCTCTCTCTTTTTCCCGAATTCAACGGAAAATGAAAATATTTTTTCTGCATAACTTTTTTTCTGGTTATTTTTTTCCCATTCAGTTTCTTTATTCTTTCGAAGAAATATTTAGGAAAAAAAGAGAATAAAAAAAATCGAATTGAATCTTGATTCAGAATGTGAATAAATTATTTCTGAAATTTTAAAATTATTTTTTTTCTCTCTCTCTTCTTTTTGTTCGAAACTTTTTCCGGTTTTGTTCGATGTGAGAAAAAAAAACTTTTCACCGAAAACAAAATAAACATTTTCCAGAATGGGAATATTTTTGGAATAGGAATTTGTTGATATTCTCTTCGAGACCGGAAATATAAACATTATTTTATTTTATTCTTTCAATTTTAAAAAAATTCTTGAAGTGAAATTGAGCTTATAAATTCTTTTTTTTATCATTTGTAGGTGAAATAACTGTACGACAGGAACATTTGGATGAAGTGATACAGGCGGCAAATTTTTTTCAAATTCAAGGCGTTCAAGAATGGAATATTCGTTGCTGTTCGACGACGACAACGACCAATACGACTAAAACATCAACAAATAATATCTCATCACCATCATTAAGAAATAGTATGGGAAATTTTAAGAAACGTATACTTAACAGCAGCCAAAAGGATGGTCATCATCAATCAACAACAATGATTGATAGCGATCCTTTTTTATCATCGTTAAATCATAACATAAATTCAAATCAAACCGATTTGAAATTAATGTAAGTTTTGCTTATTGCCATCTAGTGATTAGGTTTTAAAGTTTTTTTTTGAATAGTAATTCATCAGATAATCATTCAACAACAACCAAAAATCATGATACAACAAAAGATTCGAATAACAATCTCAACCCTTCTGAATCAGATCCGTTACATTCCAAATTATTATCAGATCGATCATCATCATCATCATCATCTACAACAATGGATAATCCACCACAATCAGATATGGACGATTATGCCCATCAATTAATGACCAAGCGGAAACGTTCATCAGAATCGATTACAACAGCCTCACCTTCATCCATCGAAAACTCATCAGTACAAGGATCTCAATTAATAAACAATGTTGCATTCGAAACAAGAAAAAAAGTCAAATTAGAAACGGAAAACACGAAACATGATTCACAAGAAGAGATAAAATCAACAAATTCATCAAGTCAACAAATTCGATCTCAATTATTGTTGAAAATAAAATCGGGAAAAATATTCAAAAAAGAACATGATTTTGACAATGAACTGATTATAGATGATTCGAAATCGGATGATGTTAGAAAAGAAAAACAAAATAAGAATGAAGATGATGATGAAGAAGAAGAGATAAATGTTGTCGATGATGATAAACCATCATCACCATATAAAGGTGATAATAATGCTGAAAGAAAAAATGGTGTTCATTCCAAACCAACAACCAATGGACGAATGAATAAATATTCGAATAAAAAAGGTTCATCCGCCTACAAAAATAACAAAACTGGTGGCATATCTAATTTAGTCATATCAAGTGAAGACGATGACGATAATGACGATGATCTAGTCAATGATAGTTTTGATGATGATCTTGTCGATGATGATGGATACTATGAAACTGATGATTCAGCAAATGGTGTTGATTTATCCATTAATCGTTCATCCGTACGAAATGGTTCTGCCAACATGAGTAATGGCGGCGATAATACTGTTAAACAAGATCGTCATAATCGAAAAAATAAAAATCGTCGCAATTCATCAATATATGATGATCTTCTTAAGAAATGTAGTAGCAACAATAATCTAATACACTCTGATCCGGTGACATCAATGTCTAACGGGTTAGTATTACCCACATCATCAACTGTAACATCTACAGAATCATCAGCATCATCGTTTGCCGCGGCAGCAGCCGCAGCTGCTGCAGCTGTTGCTGCTGCACGTATTCAGATGATGTCACAAATGTTTTCGGCTTCAAATCAATCAACAACCACCGCTAATAATTCACTATTGAATGCAACATCAGCTTTTACAGCTAATGGAACTCCAAATTCACTTTCGAATGAACGATCCACACCATTGAGCCTGTCAACTTCACCAACATCAGTATATGGATCATGTTCATTTCCTGCTAGTGTTACATCAACATTATCTACGGCAGCCGCTCGTGCAATTGCTGCAACAACATTGGCCACATTTGGACCATCGCCATCATTAGGTGTTGATCATTCCTCAGCAGCAGCAGCAGCAGCATTGGCACCATTTTCAGCATTTAATACGAATTTATTTATGGCCGCAGCAGCTGCAAGTCAACAAAATTCTACAATATCCGGTATTCAACAACTACCACCGCAATCAACACCATCACCCGCTCCATCTGCAAGCGGATCTACAGGTTCGAGCGGTGGCGAAAAACGTGGTCGTGGTCGTCCACCTAAATATGGAGGAAGTTGCAATAGCAGTAGTAAATCAAATAGGACCAATGATAATGGTTCGAATTCAAATCTGAACAATTCATTGGATACATCATCACCGTTTCCAGGATTATTCTTTCCATCAACAATGACCAATAATCATAATCATGATCATTCAGCATCATCATCACCACAACCATCCCAGATTTTATCATCATCTAATAATTCCAAATCTAATGGTAAGTTGATAAATGTTTGAAACTGAAAAATTATTAAATCATTTCAAAAACACATAGGTTCTCACAATAAACACAATGGATCATTATCATCGCCCAATGGAAAAACAGTATCTACAACGGCAGCAACTACAGTAACTACTGCAGCATCTTCAACATCATCATCTTCATCGTCATCATCATCTTCGTCATCATCATCATCAGCCGTAGTTATTAACCAGAATCGTTCTAGACGTGGACGACCACCAACATTATCCGTTGATGATATGGTACAACGTTTACATTCTGGTCGAGAAAAAGCCGGACAAAAACAATGTCCACATTGTCCACAAGTTTACTATGGTTATCATGCAATGCATGATCATATTACATCTGTACATCTTAATTCAAATGAAAAATATCCATGCCATTTATGCGATAAAGAATATTCATGGCGTATAACATTGCGAAAACATTTGAAATCACAACATGGTGTACATCCAGATATTCTCAACTGAAAATTCAAAAAATGACTAGTTTTATATAGATAATTTATTTGCAATATTTTTTTTTCTCTACATCTCACCTTATATAAATTTTGTTTTCAAATCACTTATCATTTTTTACAATAAATCACATTATCATCTGTGTATTTGCATCATCTTTTTATTTTATGGAATTTTTTTTCATTTTTATTTTTTCCCTGTCATTCAAATCATCAAATTTTTTTTGTTAATCATCATCACAAAAAAAAACTAATTTAATTGGATTTGTCAACATTTTTGAATTATAATAATCATCAAAGATATATTTGTCCAATAATAAATTAATTTCATTTTGGGAAATAAAACCAAATCAATAAACCAAAAAAAAATCATGTTTTTTTCAATTTCATTGACAAGTTAAAACTATGATGACTAGAAATCAAGCGCGACTATCTCCGATAAACATTTTAAAACTTAAATCTTATTAAACGAGATTATTTAATTAAAATTTTTATTTAAACCAAAAAAAAGTATAATACAAAAAAAGTATCTATTTACACAAAATTATTTCAGAAAAAAATTACATAAAATTCAAGATTTAGATGAAAAATTGAAATCAATCAACCCTATCATATATCATTCAGTTGATTGTATCATATGGTAGGTGTTAATTAAAATGAAAATAGCTGCCATATTTGTAAAGGAAATTCTTGTATTTATATTGTAAAATGTAAGTAAAAAATTAGGTAAGTGAGTAGTGATGTGTGCATTTTGTTTTAAAGAAAAACTAAGAGAGAATCATCAAAAAATTAAATTTTTTCAAAGTGGTAATGTAAGCTGCCCGAAAAAATAATACCAAAAAAAAAGAATGAAAAGAAATGACCAGCAAATATATAAAATAAGAAACGATCGAGAAAAGAAATTTGGCACGAATAATCTTCGATCAATTATGATGATAATTTTTTCCCCAATTTTATTGTTGTTTTCCATTACCAAAAATGAGCGAAATCCCAAATTTTTTTCCAGATGATTATTTTTGAAATGATAATGATGATACAAATATAAATGTTTTACATATGTCTTTGCATCGATGGATAATAATCGGGTAATGGTTCGATTAATGAAGGATCAGGTGTCGTATATAATGGATTAGGAAAATCCGGTGGATGTGGTAATGGTCCAACACCTTTTGGACGACGACGATAGGCCATTAGCCAACAAGATATGGCAACAGCTACAGCTACTAATGCCAACAATGTAGTAATAATCATTGAAATGATTAGACCAAGTTTTGGTAAACAAACATGTTCGATATCTTCAACATGAATGGGATCATTTTCGATAATATTTTCTGATTGTTGTAAACCGTGTTTTTCAAACGTTAAAATGGCATTAGATTGTACCATAATTTCTTCACGAAGGGCACCTTCTTTAAATGTATCGGTAAGTATAAAATCATCTTCATCAACTTCAATTTGACGTCGACGTCGACGACGACCAAAAGCATCGATACCATCACAATTAATCGGTGGGCATGATCCAAAACATACACGGATATTACATTGAAATCTTAGATTATTACTGCTTGGAAATTTAAATGCATTGAATCGAGCCATCAATGATTTTTTATGCGGATCATATTCCCAATTTCCAAATATACTCGGATCGGTTGCACAACCATTTTCATCAGTAACTTCATATTGAAATTCACCTTCCTCTTCCATGGTTTTAGCAAAACAGCTTCGAGCAAAACCTCCGTAAATAAAATCTGGTTGTACATCAACTTTGAGTATAAGATCATCACCAATTTCAGCACTATTGATTTCTTTACCATCCAACGTACAGATCGACATAATACATGTTGGCGGTGGACCAGTGTTGGCAATAGTTCCAGATGTAGTAATCATACTGACATTGAATCCCAATGTTACGGTTTTTTCACCAGTATTGTAAACACATTTGATATGATAAGCTCGAGCTCGATAAGTGATAAGTTTTGGATGTTTTTGAATAACCAACACAAACGATGCTTCGCCATCAATATGAATCAATCCACAATGACCAAATAAAACTTTGAAATCAATGGAATCGCCTTCACCACTTGTGACCAATCTGCGACATTGTGGATCTTGACTGTGCCCTTTTACATAAATAAGACCATCGAATCTATCCAATTGAACGCTGACTTGTACACCATCAGCCAGACACATGACTAAAATTTGAAAAAAAACGTTAGATCATTTTCATTTATTTCAGTTTTCTTTTACAAACCTAATATTTCCGATGGCGGTGGAATAGTTCGAGATTCAATCGGTAAATCTGGTTCTTCATAACAACCAACTAATTTATCCAATGGATCGCCAATTCTACCTGGTGGACAAGTACAAATAGCTCGATGATCTATAGCAGTACATTCGGTATGTGGACCACAAATATAACATGGACTGATGCATTGTTTGCTACCAATATCGCATTCACGATCACTAGCACAATCGAATGTAGAAATACAACCTTCTATTTCGAAACATCCTTTAACATAGGCATCACCAACGGTACCTGGCGGACAACTACATTCATAACCGCCTGGTTTATTGTTACAAGCAGCACCGGAACCGCAATGTACGTGAAGACATTCATTGAGATCAATACATTCACCACTTGGATGATATTCATAACCATGTGGGCAGACACAAAAACCATTTAGGCTTCCAGTGTATACACATTCTTCATTAGTTGGACATGGATTATTGGTTGTACAATTCAATGATTTCATGTAGCAATAATCATTTTCTTGTAAGAAATTCGGTGGACAACCGCAAGTATTACTATCCAAACAAATTAAATTGCCTGGACAATGGTAATCGATACCACAGATGATCTTTTTATGACAGGATTTGAATGGATCGCCTTCATAACCGGGTGGACAATAACATTCAGGATTGTGATTTTCAGTTATACAAATAGCATTCAGACCACATTTGTAGCCAAGATGATGTTCTTTCGAAACACAAGGGTCTGTATAAAAAATAATTAATTTGAAACTTTTTGAATATATAAAATAGAATACGAACCATAGCATTCTCCAAGATGAGCATTACATTTTTTGTTCAATGCACAATCACTGTCCTGAAGACAACCTTTTAATGGTGGTGGGGTCGAATGACAACCTTCACGATATGGATCACCTTCATGATTTTCATAACAACGACATTCATATGATCCAGGAAGATTGTGACAATCAGCGTTGGCAGCACATAGTCCTGTTTGTTCAATACATTCGTTGATATCTATGATAAAACAAAAACGAAATTTGATTTGAATAATGAAATTTTGTAAATCATTGACTTACCTTGGCATTCTCCATTTGAAGAGAGTCTAAAACCGCGCATACAAACACAGAAACCATTTCCTTTAGTGAGTATACATTCTTGATTGACTTTACATGGTTTAGTTGATGAACAACCGATCGAGGATTCTGGGAAAAAATTTAATGAATAAGTAATGAAAATAATTTTTTATCAAAAAAACTCACTTATACAGTAATCCATTTGTCGTTCATATCCAATGGAACAACCACATTTTTGATCCGACATGCAGACCAGATTTCCCGGACAATTATTGTCGGATAAACATTCAACAGGTTTTCGACAAATTGAATATGGATCACCGAAAAACAATGGACGACAATTGCATTCTTTTTTATGGTTTCGAACAGTGCATACAGCATTCTGACCACAGCTATTTTCTTTCAAGCAAGGATTAACGCATTTTGTTTCCAAACAAGCTTTGTCCGCATCGCAATCACTGTCCACGAAGCATCCTTCACGGAAATTATCTGTCAGACATCCTTCATTATATGGATCGCCTCCGAAAGGACACGAACACTTGTAGCTTCCAATCAAATTAGTACATATGGCACCAGATCCACAAATGTTCTGATTCTGTTGACATTCATCAATATCTTTACAACTACCATCCAACGAAAGTTGAAAACCTCGAGGACATATGCACATTCCTTCATGAGTATTACCATTAATGAATACGCATTCTTGATTCGATGGGCATGGAATTTGAATAGAACAGTTGAAACTTTGAGCTATAACAAACAAAAATCAAAGGTAAGAATTTTCCATGAATTGAGTAATCACAATTAAAAAATTTACCAATACAGAATGTGCCCAATTGATGTAGATGTTTTGGACATGAACAATAATCAATTTGACATTTTAGATTACCAGGACAATCATTATCGGAAACGCATGAATCACCTATAATCATTCATTGTTAGAAAAATGGCAAAAGAATTTCGTCATAATAAAAAACTTACGAATCGTGCATTCAACATGTGGATTTCCTTGATAGCCATTAGGACAATGACATTCAGCTTTATAATCAAATCCTCTACAAATGGCACCTTTACCACACACTCCAGGTCTAGAACAAATATCTAGAAAGCAAACAATAATGTATTGAATTATATAAAAATTTTATAGAATTTACCATAACATTCTTGTGTAACTGGATTACATCGTTGATCTGATTTACAATCAGCATCATGAAGGCAAACCGGTTGTGGTGATCGACAACCAAACGGTCCATATGGATCGCCTACTAAAGGCATTGGACAAGAACATTTGAACCAACCGGGTAAATTGGTACAACTGGCTGCAGGTCCACAAGGCATTTTCTCTTGTAAACATTCATTTATGTCTGATTTAGGAAGAATGATTCATTTTGGTAACAATTTCAAACAAAACTAAAAAGATTTTACCTTTGCATTCATTGTTAGCGCAGACATAGCCATTACCACAATCTTTATTTTGTTCACATTCAAATGCAACTTTCGAGCATTGTTTTAATGGATCGCCAGTATATCCAGGCAAACATGAACATTGTGCTTCATGACGTTCAGCACGACAAATTGTGTTCACTCCACACATTCCACCGATACTGCATGGACTTTGACACAATCCATTTACACAGGCTTTATCCATTGGACAATTTCCATGCATTCGACATCCAACTAATGAAGAGCAAAAAAAAAAATGAATTATTAATGGATTTCAGAAAATGTCTCAATTTCTAGTTCTACTTACCAATACATTTTTGTTTCAAACAGATACGTTCCATACCACAATCATCATCGGTTCGACATTCTGGTGGAATTTCTGTATATGATAATTAAGTGTTAGCCAAAAATTTGACAAACAATAAAAAACTGTTTTACCTTTGCATTCGAAATTCGGATCGCCAATAAATCCATTCGGACAGCTACAAACAGCAACATGACTAGATGCGGAACAAATTGCATTTCGACCACAGGCACCACTTTGTTTACAAGGATTGATACATTTTTCTTGAATACAGGCTTTGTCTTTGGGACAATTCAATGTAGATCGGCAACCATCTGTACATGGGAAATTAATCAGTAGAGAGAAATTCAAAAAAAACAAATGTTAAAATCTTACAAGAACAACGTTGATTTTTGCAAATATGTTCAGTCGGACATTCAACATCGGAGAAACATTCGGGTGGTGGTAGGACACGTTCACATGAAATTCGTGGATCACCAGTGAAATCCGGAATACAAGTACAAACACGGTCATGATTTAAGGGTTTGCACAAAGCATTCTGACCACAAGCACCAAATAGATCGCATGGATTTTGACATTGTTTATTAATACACGATTCTTCAAATCGACAATTAGCATCATTTCGACAACCATCTGTTTAATTGATTAGAATTGATTAGATTAATTGTTCATTTTATCAACAACAAAGAACTTACCAATACATCTGTTATTTTCACAGATTGTACCCAACGAACAGGCTTGATCTTGTTCACAATAATCGTCGGGAACTAGATTTAAAATTAAATTTGTATTGAGATTCAATTTCTTTTTTCATGGTTAAGACAAAAACTTACTTGGTTCACAATGTTCAAAAGGATTTCCACGGAAATTTTCAATACATTCACAACGTGCTCGATGATTGAACGGTTGACAAATGGCATTTAAACCGCATGCTTTTGGCAAAAGACAAGGATTTTGGCATGTTCCATGCACACAAATCCTATCTTCAGGACAATTATTATCTTGTCGACAGCCGGATAAACATTGATTATTTTCACAGATCTGACCCAGAACACATTCATTATCTCGGAAACATTGTGGTGGTGCATCTGTACACAGGACATTAGGATTTCCTTTAAATCCAGTTGGACAACTACAAATAGCAGCATGATTCGCCGCTTGACATATTGCATTTCGACCACAAACACCATATAAACTGCAAGGATTTTGACAAATACCATTTATGCAAGATTCTTCATCGGAACATCCCGAACTATCTCGACATCCAATAACACATTTGGAACGTTCACAAATCAATTGATGACCACATTCACGATCAGATTGACATCCTTTGATCTCTTCAAATGGATGACATTCGACTGCAGGATCTCCGAGAAAACCAGAATGACAAGAACAAACAGCACGATGTCCAGTCGTTGTACAATCAGCATTCAAACCGCAAGCGTTCAAAGATTCGCAAGGATTTCGGCATTCAGAATTGATACAAGCTTCATTCGGTGTACAATGATCATTATGGCGACATCCTTCTACACACGATCCTTGATTACAGATGTATCCAAAACCACAATCGTCATCAGCTGAACAATCGGTAGTCTGTATAATTTGTTGACGATCACAAGCGCTAAATAGGTCACCTTTTCCAATATTTGATGAAGCACATTTGCAAACTGCACGATGATTTTCAGAATTGCAAATAGCATTATGTCCGCAAGCACCGTATACACTGCATGGATCTTGACAACGTTGATTAATACAAGCTGTAACATATGAACAAGCATCATCCGTTCGGCAAGCGTCAATACATTTGCTCTTTTCACAAATCTGTCCAATACCACAATCAACATCTTGAACGCAGATTAACATTGTTGATACTGTACACAATGCATTAGGATCACCAGTATAACCAGGTAAACATGAACATCGTGGTCGATGGCCAACAGTCGTACAAACAGCATTTTGACCACAAGAATCTGACAGGTCACATGGGTCAAGACATTGTTTGTGTATGCAAGCCAATTCAGATGGACAATTCTTATCGTTACGACAGCCAATTATACAGGTATTTAATTCACAAACTAATCCCGAAGGACATTCTTCATCATCTGAACATCTTGTTGCTGGAAGTTGAGTCATTGGTTTACAATAATCGTAAGGATTTCCATCATAACCGAATGAACAACGACATTGTGGTCGATGGAGAACAGGTTGACATTGAGCATTGGAACCACATGGTGTTTGAATTGTGCATGGATTGATACATTGGCTGTTGTAACAAGCACGATCGAATGTACAATCTGAATCACGGCGACAGCCACTGATACATTTTCCTTGATCACAAATTTCTCCCGGATGACAGTTATTATCGTATAGACATTGTTTAATAATATCAACACAATAATGATGCTCACAAACTTTACCCGGTCCACAGCCAACATCGTCGGAACATTCATATGTTTCGAGGTTTTGTTTATTTTCCATACAATAAACTTTAGCATCACCAATGTGATTCGGTGGACATGAACATTCGGCTTTATGATTCGTTGGTCGACATAAAGAATTTACGCCACAAATTTGTTCCAATGAACATGGATCAATACATTTTCGATTGTAGCAAGTTTTTTCGAATGGACAATTATTATCGGTACGACAACCAACAAGACAACGATTAGAGATGCATATTTTGCCAAGTCCACAATCTTTATCAGCTTGACAATCACTCTGTTGAATACGACAACCTTGAAATCCATCACCGGTAAATCCTTCTGGACATCTACAAACAGCTTCATGATTGATAGAAATACAAATAGCATTCGCACCACATGTTTTCATTGAGCACGGATTCTGACAAAGATAATTAATACAGGCCATTTTGAATGAACAATCACTGTTTGAACGGCATCCTTCAGTACAACGGTTATTAGAACAAATTTCCGTCATACGGCATTCATTATCCGAAACACATCCAACAGATTGGACACATTTATTTGATTGACAAAGATATCCAATAGGACATTCATCATTTTTACGACATAACGGTAGGGGTAAACATTCAGTTTCAGGATTACCAATATGATCGGCAAAACAGGAACATTTTGCTACATGATTGAACGGCTGACAAATAGCATTGTTGCCACAAGCACCACGAATGTTACATGGATTTTGACATTGTTGTGATTGACATGCCATATCTAACGGGCAATCATCATCTCGACGACATCCAGCAAAACATTTGCCTTGTATACAGATATGACCTATCGAACAATCTTTATCTTTACTGCATTCATTGTTTCGAATACATCGTTGATGAATGCAGGAACTATCTGTTGGACAATCTTTTGATGATCGACAAGTTAATTCTTCTTGTGGTTTAAGCATACACCTTACGGTTGGATTTCCATCATAATTGGCCGGACACGAACAATAAGGCTGATGATCGATAGTTTGACAGATAGCATTTTCACCACAAACTTCAGCAAACATACAAGGATCAACACAATGTAAGCTGATACAACTTTGACTTGATGGACAACCAGAATCCGATCGACATCCTTGTTGACACTTATAATTTTGACAAATTTCTTGATTATTACAATCAACATCGATGATACATTCAATATGTTTGCATTCAATCTTAGGATTTCCGGTATGTTGAGGTGGACATGAACATTGAGCAAGATGATTGACAGCAATACAGTGTGCACCAAGACCACATGATGTTGGATTATGGCACGCATGGATACATTTGCGATTAATACAAATGTCAGTGGTAGGACATTCCGAATCTTGACGACAACCAGGTGTACATTGGCCAAATTCACAAACAAATCCTCGTGGACATGAATCATGATTGGAACAAATTGTACTACAGATACCATTCAAACATCGTTCATTATTATAACAATCTTGATCACGGCTACATTGTGCAAAACAATATGATGAATCACAAATTTGTCCTCTTCCACAAACATTTGGTGTTTGATCACAGGTAACGAATTGTCGTATACATTCTACATAAGGATTACCAATCGTATCTTCTTTACATGAACAAGTTTTTTCATGATTATGTATCGAACAGATAGCATTTGTACCACAAGCAGTTGGACTTGCACATGGATCCATACAGAAATTATTCACACAGGTTTCGGTCGAAACACAATCCGTATCCGAACGACAACCAACATTACAGAAATTCTGGAGACAAATTTCGCTTGTAGGACATTCACGATCTTTTGTACATTGAATATGACAACGGCCATTAACGCAACGTTCATCAACAGCACAATCTTTATTGGCTGAACAAACTTGTCGACATCGATTATTCGTACAGATTAATCCTTCATTATGACAATCAGCATTCGATAGGCAATAAATTGATTCACGCATACAGCCAACATTGGCAGATGGACGGCCAACAAAATTTATTGGACAAGTACAAGAAATTCGATGATTTACCACACTACACATAGCATTTGGTCCACATGCTGCCGATCCTTCACACGGATCGATACATTGATTTCGAGTACAGACCAAATGTCCAGCACATTGATTATTATTACGGCAACCAGTTTGACAGCGATTAGCATTACAAATTTCATGATTTTGACATTCATTATCATGACGACAAAGAATAACACAATGTCCATTGAAACATTTCTCTCCAATAGCACAATCTTTATCGGCTGAACAATGAGGTTTGCAACGACCATCGATACAGATATGATTTTCCGGACAATCAATAGGCGATAGACACATTCGCATGATACGATTACAGCCCATTTTCGAATTTCCAGTAAATCCATGTGGACATGTACAGATTGGTTGATGAAGAACCATTGTGCAAAGAGCGTTTGCTCCACATGCAATCGGTGTGTCACACATGTTTTTACAACTGTTCAATATACAAGATTCTTTCATTGAACATTCATTATCGTTACGGCAACCTGATTGACATCGATTATTCATACATATTTCTCCATCTGAACATTCTTGATCGCTGAAACATCTAAGTAGACAACGATGATCAAAACATTGTTCATTGATGGCACAGTCTTTGTTCGAAGCACATTGTGGACGACATTTTCCTTGATCACAAATAGTTCCAATTGGGCACTGATTTTCATTTTGACATTCAATAAGATTGCGTACACAACCACGTTGCGTATCTTTAGGATTACCTTGAAATCCTACTGGACATGAACAGATTCGCTGTCGATTAGAAACCGAACATAAAGCATTAACACCACAGCTATCACCACGTTCACATGGATTCTGGCACATCAATAAACCGCGAGAATTGAGTTCACAAACAGCATTCGGTGGACAATCAGAGTTTCCATTTGGACATTCATTCGGCCCACGACAACCAGGCTCTTCAAACGGTGAACCAATACTTTTTTCAATTGGACAAATACATTCATAGCCGGAAAGTTTATTGATGCATATAGCAGTCGGATGACATACTTTTTTACTACAATAATCGATTCGTTGACAGCCAACAATCGGATCGCCTTCAAATCCATCAAAACATCGACAAATAGCTGAATGTTTTTCCGAACTACAATAGGCATTTTCACCGCATATAACACTGTTCTGTTTACATGGATCAATACATTTATGATTCGAACAGGCTTGATTTGGTTTACATTCTTGATGTGAAGAGCATTCCATCGGTCGACAACCGAATCTTTCATCATTTGGATTGCCAAAAAATCCGGGTAAACATTCACATACTGAAGAATGATTGATAACTTTACATTGAGAATTACGACCACAAATAGTATTTTCACATGGATCTTTACAATCATTAAAACCACGAGTATCAGCACGACAGGCAGCTTCTTCACCACATTCATTATCATTGTTGCAACGATTTTCAATTCGCCGTATACATCGCCATTCAATACAAAAATAATCCGATGAACAATCAAAATCATTTTTACAGCTTTGAATACATCTTCCCATTTCACATTTTTCATTTTGATTACAATCACGATGACTAACACAAGCACTACGGCAAAAATGATCCATATGACAGAATTCAGAAAATGGACAATCTTCATCCGAATCACAAGCTAAACGTCTACGACAGCCAGCAATAGGATCACCAAAATATCCATCAGCACATTTACAAATGTAGTTATGTTTTTGTGGAACACAATAGGAATTTTCACCACAAGCTGTTGGTGCAAGACAAACATTGACACAGTGATTTTCGAAACAAATATCCGTTTCGTTTACACAATCGAAACTACTCGTACATTCAACATGTTCACAACGTTCCAAGGGATTTCCGATATAATCTTTAGGACATGAACATTTTGGCTGATGATGAACGGTCATACAAGTTGAGTTCATTCCACAAATAGTTGGATCATTACATCGATCGCGACATTTTGGCACACCGGCAACCATTATACAAGTGGAAGAATCGGGACAATCAATATCACCATTATAACAAACATCTGATTCATGACAACCAGGATGATCGTAAGCATTGCCTACAAGATTTTTAGGACATTTGCAGTTATAACTTCCAGGTATATTTTCACAAATTGCTGTATTGTGACAAGGATGAAGATGACATTCATTTATATCGACACAACTTAATAAACCATTGTTTTCGAATCCAGTTTCGCATCGGCAAACAGCTTGACGATCGCGAATAATGCAGGAACCATGTGGACCACAATCGACCTGATCACAAGCATTTTCACAAACAAAACTTAGACATTGTCTATCAGATGGACAATCCGAATCATGAAGACATTCAACTTTTTGACAACCAAGTTGATGATTAAAAGCATCGCCACTGTATAATCCAACTTCGGGACATTTGCATTCAATTTTATGATCAATGACACTACACAGCGAATTCGGTCCACATGGTTGATATGAACAAAGATTTACACATTTTGAAAGACCATCTTGATTTCTTCGGCAAGCAGCATTTGATGGACAATCAATATCACCTCTTGGACATTCACCAGGATTTTGACATCCAGTCCATCCATCACCGATTTCACCTTCACGGCAAGAACATCGATAACTTCCAGGTACATTTTCACAAACAGCCGTTGGATGACAAGGTTGAGTAAGACATTCATCAATATCTACACATCCAACACCGGCGATATATTCGAATCCAGGAATACATGAACAGAGTGTGTTGGCACAGATTTGATTCAATGTACAATCGGCATTTGAACGACAACCAGTGATACAGACATGATTGATACAAACTTCACCGGCTGGACAATTAATGTCGCTGGAGCATGTTTGAAAACAAGCATTGGCAATACATTTTTCACCATCCACACAATTTGTACACATTGGTCGACATTTGTTATTAGCACATACTAATCCGTTAGGACAATCAATATCGCCATTACAATGATAATATTTTCGTTTACATCCCATAATTGGATCTGGATTACCTTCAAAATTTTCTGGACAATAACAGGTAAGATTATGGCTTTGAACATTGCACAATGAATTATGGCCACAAATATTTTTGATTTCACAAGGATTTTGACAACGATTCTGAATACAAGCCTGATTCGATTGACATTCAACGTTGTCTCGACATCCGAAATTACAATAGCCTTTGCTTACACAAGCTTCATTCGGTGAACAGCTATCATGAACAATACAGGCTTTTACGCAGAAATTATCCACACATTTTTCGCCACCAGCACATTCACTATCAACTGTACAGACGAATCTACATTGACCATCGATACATTCTTGGCTATCTCCACAATCAGGATTTGATTTACAAAATCTTGGAATTCTTGAACATCCAAATGAATTAGGTTCTCCATTGAAATTGTCCAAACATCGACATTTTGGTTCTTGATCATGTATCTCACAAACAGAATTCGGTCCACATTCAATTTGATCACAAGGATTTTTACATAAAAACAATCCTGTTGTATCAGGCATACAAACTGAATTGGATGAGCAATCAATATTTCCTCGTGGACATGCATTAGGATGTTTACAGCCATCAATACCTTTAGAATATGGATCACCGATAAAACCAGGTGGACATGTACATTTTAAAGATCCAAATGTATCATTACAATGAGCCATTTCATGACAAGGATTTGAATCACATAATCGAACCATTGAGCAACCAATTCCATAAGGTTCTCCAGTATAGCCAGGAAGACATTTACAGTGTGCATAATGCGAATGAGCGATACAAACAGCATTCTGACCACAACCATTAATGCATGGATCATAACAATGATTTTGTGTTGAACAAGCTTTATCATCGGTACAATCTTTATCGGTGATACATTCGACACGTATACAGCCATTATTTTGATCATAAGGATTTCCGATAAAATGGCCATTTGTTGGACATCGACATTCTGGAGCGCGATTTTCGATTACACATATAGCATGTTTACCGCATTCAAATTTCAAACATCCATCCACACATTTACGAATACCATGTTGATCGGCCAAACATATTTCATTAGGTGATGAACAATCATTATCATTATTACATTGATGTAAAGAAATTGCTGTACATCCAGTACGGCTAAGTGGATCGCCGGTAAAACCTGGTTCACATTGACATTGTTCTTTATGATGCATTGCTACACATCGCGAATTTGGTGTACAGGTAAAATCGATACAGGCTTCAGCACATTGTTTTATGCCAAGTACATTCGTCTTACATGTTGATAATGCTGGACATTGATGATCGGAAACGCATTCATCTTTACGTTGTATACAAATCTGATTTTGATCACGGATATAGTCTTCCATACAATCGCAATAAGCTCGATGTTCAACGGCAACACATAATGATCCGGTACCACAGGTAATAAATTGACAAGCGTTGAAACATTTTTTGACACCATTATTCAATGCTTTACAAACATCAGATCCATTAATACAATCAATATCTTCATTACATTCATCACGATCTTGTTTGATACAACCAATGGTAAGATCATTAGCCGAACCAACATATCCAGGAAGACATTCGCAAATAGCATCATGATTACGTATTTGACATTTTGAATTCGGTCCACATTGAACAGTGGTACATACATCAATACAGTCATATATTCCGGAACGGGTTGGTAAACATTTATAATTATATTTGCAATCGAAATCATTTTGACATAGATTACTGATGACCGGTATATGACAACCATGGATAAGATCATATGGATCACCATTGAATGATGATTGACAAAAACATTGAGCTTTATGTTTATGAGTTTTACATAAAGCATTCTTACCGCATTCAGTGTAGAGGCAAACATTAACACATTTATGCGTATTCGTTGTTTGATCAAATTTACAAACACTATCGTTTGGACAATCAATATCAAATTTACATTCATCAGGATCATAACACATATGAAATGGATCACCACTAAAACCAGGTCTACATGAACATTGAGCACGATGATTTAATGATGAACAAATAGCATTTTCACCACATAAAAATTGTTTACATGGATCTTGACATATATTGATATCATCTGGACCATGTACACAGATTGCATTGGATGGACAATTTTCATCATTAAAACATTCATTAGTAATTCGATGACATCCCGCATTTGGATCGCTTGCACGACCAGTATAACCATCTGGACAGGTACAAGTGACGAAATGTTCATTTGTCAAACAAATCGCATTTGGACCGCATACATTAACTGAACAGCCGTCGACACAAGATTTAACACCATACTCATTTAGATGACAAACTTGCTCCGTATGACAATCTGTATTCGATGTGCAACGATCTTTTGGTACACAACCACGAAATAGATCTTCAGGATTTCCGAAAAATGCTTTTTTACATTTACACGTAGCCGTATGATCGATAGCAATACATTCTGCATTTGGACCACAATTGATTGATTCACAAACATCAACACAATCGAGTATACCTTTGCGGGTGATTGTACATATCTGATCATTACGGCATTCTCGATTAGTTCGGCACATGTTCGGTGCGCAGGCACCGCTTGAATCACCCGATATTCTTGTATAGCCAGCAATACATTCACAATGTGGACGATGATTCTTGGTTACACAATGTGCACCATTACCACAAATATGATTGAAACAAATATCCACACAATCTTTTATATTTTCAGTTGTTAGTACACATTTTTTATCCGGTGAACATTGTTCATCACGTTGACAAAGATGCTGACTTGGTGTTTGACATTGTCGAGTTGCGTCACCAGTAAATCCAGGCAAACATTCACAAACAGCTTGATGAGCACGTCCAACACATCGAGCATTTTGTCCACAACGAATATTATCACAAACATCGGTACAATTTCGAAGACCAGTCAGTACACGACGACAAGCTTGAAATTCAGCACAGGTATTATCATCCGAACAGGTAAGCTGAACTGGATGACAACCAATTTTTCCATCATATGGATCACCGGCAAAATTCGGTCGACATTCACAATAAGCTTGATGTGCTCGACCACGACATACACTATTAATACCACATTGGAAATCTTTACAAACATTTTCACATTCTCGATATCCTTTCGAATGTGAAGAACAGATCTCATCGTGTTTACAATCGCCATCATCTGCACAAGCATGTGGTCTGCATCCTTTGATAAGATCGTATGCGTTTCCTTCATAATTTTCATAACAAACGCATTCTGGTCGTCGTTCTCGTGGAATACATTGTGCATTTGGACCACATTGAATAATATCACAGACACTGATACATTGTTTAGAATCTGATTGTGATGGAATATGCTTGCAAACAAAATTCTGTTGACATTCATCATCAAGATCACAAGTGGGAGGTAAACGAATTTCGGCACTTGGTGAACAACCGATTTCAAGATCACTAGGATCACCAGAATGAGCATCAATACAAAGGCATTTCGGTTTATGATCAACGGTAAAACAAAACGCATTAGGTCCACATTGAGTTGTATCGCATGGATCTATACATTGAAATCCAATTTCTTGATTGACTAGAGCACATACATTGTTAGTATCGCATTTTGAATCATCGATACATCGGTTTGGTTGTACACAAATACCACGGAAGCAAACAGTGTTCGGTGGACAATTGGATTTTGTTGAACAAGAAATGCCTACGCCATTTATCTGATTTTCATATCCAGGTTTTTTGGGCAATTGACATGCATACATAGGATTACCTACATAACCAGATGGACAAACACATTGATAACTTCCGATAACATTGATACAATTAGCATTTGTACCACAAAGATTTCCATGATTATGATTCAGATTTTGTAGACATTCATTAACATCTTCACAGGCAATATATGGATTGCCATGAAATCCGGCAGGACAAACACATTCAACACTGGTGGCACTTTCCAAACAATTGGCACCGGTACCACAACGAATTTTATCGCATCTTGGAATTGTCGTACAAGCGATGTATGGATTTCCACTAGTTCCGCTATTGCACACGCATTTATTCGGTGTATCATAGGCACAATGACTGTTGAGACCACAACCGGGATTACATGTTGGCGGCGTTGGCAGTGGCGGTACACAAAGTACTTGCGGATCGCCAACATAATTTGGTAAACATTTACATGATTGACTGTTCAGATCACATTTGGCACCGGGTCCACATTTTTGTCCTTGACAGATATCAATGCAAACATGATTAATACAAACTTGATCCGATGGGCATGGTAATTGCGTTGAACATTTAATTTCTGGTAAACAAGCGCCTCCAGCCCAAGGATTGCCATAGAATCCATTTTGACATTGACATACTGGTTGATTTTGTGTGTTTACAATACAATGAGCATTGATGCCACAATAAAGATTACTACAAGGTGATGTACATCCTTTAGCTAGATCATTTCCTTCACCTGAATAACCGGCAATACATTGACAAGTAGCTGTATGATTGACACCAATACAATAAGAATTATGTCCACAAATTGATTGAGTACAAGCATCGATACAAACATTAAGCTCTTCGTTACAAATAGTATCGCTTGGACAATCATCATTCGATCGACATCTTGATGATCCTTGACATCCAGATTCATATGCATTGCCTGCTGTACCATCAGTACATTCACATCGATAACTTCCCAGAAGATTGATACAAACGGCATTCGCTCCACAAGGACCGTTTGGATCTAACGGTAGCATTGATGTACATTCATTGATATCATGACATTCTTCATTAGGATTACCAGTACAACCAGGTTTACATTGACAACGAGGTTGTCCTTTATCTTCAAGAACACATTCAGCATGTTGGCCACATTGAATCCAATCACACGGATGTCGACAGGATTGACCATCAAATATGAAAGGTGGTGAACATTCACAAGATCCATTTCGACAATGATAATTTTGTCCACAATCAACGCTGGATCGACAATGTTGAACAATACGATTGCAGCCAACTTTGCCGATACCACTATAACCAGCGCGACAAAGACATTCATATGCCCCTGGCAGATTGATACATTCGGAATTTGATCCGCAAAGATCAAATTCTTGCATTTCCGTACATTCATCGATATCCCGACAGAATCCATTTGCTTCCAATGTAAAACCTTTTGGACAAATGCAAAAACCAAATCCAGAACTGGTCAACATACAATCTTGATTTTGTGGACATGAATTAGCATTCGAACAATTTCGGCTAGTCATAATACAATAATCGCCTTCACGAACATATGGATCTTTACAGCCACAATGAACACCATATTGAATATCATTAATACATGCTGTATTACCCGGGCATTGTTTATCATCATTACATTCAATTATATCTGGATAACACATTGAATAGGCATTACCAGTAAAACCATCTGGACAATGGCATGTATAGCCACCATCAAGATTCATACAGAATGCATTCGTTCCACATGGTGATTTTTTTGATTCACTACATTCATTCACATCACGGCAGGATTCAGTAACCGCATCACGAACATAGCCACGCTGACATACACATTGATTTATATTATTTGCCGAAATACATTCTTCATTTGGTGGACATGACAAATCAATATTACAATCGATACGATCTTTTCCTTCCAATAGACATTCAATGTATGGATCGCCACGATAATCGTGTGGACAAAGACATTCAAACGATCCGGGAGTGTTACGACAGACAGCCAATTTTCCACAAGGATTGTTAGCACATTCATCCAAATCTAATTGTGAATGAAACAGAAAAAGAATTGATCAACAGGTGTGTAATCGAATCACTTTGCGTAACGAATTTATAATTATAATGATAATTATTATATTGAACTTACCGACACAGCCAGGAAGACTATTACTTTTGCCAATATAACCATCAATACATGAACAAACAGGATTTCCATTAAGATCCAATTGACATTTAGCATGTTCACCACAGAAAAGATTATCACATGGATGTTTACAATTATCACCGAAAAATGGTGGAGGGCAATAACATTTTCCTTGTTTACATATTGAATTTTCTTGACAATCTTTATTAGTCACACAAGTTTGTTCCAAAAAACATCGAATTTTTGGATTGCCATAACTTCCAGGTGGACAACGACAGCTAAAATTACCAAAAGAATTTGTACATATAGCAGAAAATCCACATTTTCCATTAGCACCGAATGCAATTGAACATTCATCAATATCTTGACATGATTTATGAGCGTTTCCAGTCATACCGGCCGGACATGAACATGTGAAGCTTCCCATTAGGTTTGTACAGATGGCATTCTCACCACATTTTCCATGTGGTCCATATCGACGATCACATTCATCTAAATCTTCACAATAACGGAATGGATCACCAGTAAAACCAGGTGGACAATGACAATGATGGCTGCCCAAAATGTTCGTACAAACAGCACCTTGTCCACAAAGACCGGATGGCCCGTGATCAACATCACATTCATTGATATCCAAACAACCGGCACTAATATTATTTGGATTAAAAGTGAATCCTGGATCACAAATACAGGCAGCTTCTTGTCCGTTGACATGACAGGTTGCAAATTGACCACATTTCACTGAATCACATGGAGATCGACAACCGAATGTTCCAGTTTCGAGAAAACCATCTTTGCATGAACATTTATAATGACCATCTTGATTGATGCAAACAGAATTATCACCACAAGGGAATGGTATCTGAACACATTCATCGATATCTTGACATTTGCTTTTCGCAGAAGATTGAATTTTTTCATAACCGGATTCACAATGACATTCGTAGCCACCATCCAAATTATTACATGTTGCACCTTTACCGCATACATTTTTGTTTGTTTGACATTCATCCACATCGACACACATAATTCCGTCAATTCGATAACCAGATTTACATTGACAATTACCATCAATACAATCAGCATTTATCGTACAATCAGATTGTTGTTGACAATAAACATCAACAGCAGCACGATCACAACCGAATTCAGCATTACCATCACGAGCTAGATATTTATCTGGACATTGGCATTGAAATGAACCAATTGTATTTAAACATTTTGCATTTGGTCCACAAGGATTTGTTAAACATTCATCAATATCTATAAATCAAGATTGTAATTTATGAATTTTGATTTTTTTAAAAATAAAATTTATTATTTATAACATCTGAGTTTTTTTTTTCCAAACACAAACCTTTACATCCACGAATAGGATTTCCTGTATAACCTGTTGAACATCTACATTCATATGATCCTGGTTTATTATAACATAAAGCATTCGATCCGCAAAGATTTTCTTGTCGACATTCATCGATATCTTTTAATAAGGAAAGAAAAAGAAAACAAAAATTTTGATATTGAAAAATTCAAATAAAATAATTATTATTTATGGGAATTTGGAAAAAAATATAACCAACCTATACAACCAGCCGAATGATATGGATTGCCAGTAAAACCAGCCTGACATTTACAACTATAGCTTCCAATATTATTTATGCATATTGCATTTACACCGCATGCAGCCGGACATTCATCAACATCTGCATATTTTTTTGGAAGAAAAGAATTAAAGATAAAAAAAGGGTAATTTAATCATAAATCTTTTTTTTTTAGTTTTCTTTGAAATTTATACTGATGATTTGTTTATTATTATAATTTGAGGTAATCAAAACAAAATGATGCTAATAATGATATCGTAATATTTTCATTACCTTCACATTGAGTTTTTGGATTGCCAGTAAATCCGGGTCCACATTCACAGACAAAACTACCCGGAATATTTATACAAACAGCATTTGAACCACAGATTAATGGATTTTGGCATTCATCGATATCTAAACAACCATCACGGGCGGTCATATTACCATGATAACCTGTTGGACATGAACATTCAAAGCCACCGACAGTATTTGTACAAATTGAACCAGATCCGCATGGATTATTTTGGCATTCATCGACATCTAAACAAATATGTGTTTAAATTATAATAATCAGATTAAAATTCATTTATAAACAATAATAATAATAAAAACATTTTACCTAAACATTCAATGAATGGATCACCGACAAAACCATCTGGACATTGACATGAAAAACTACCCGGTGTATTTGTACATAAAGCATTTTGGCCACAGAATCCTCCATCCAAACATTCATCAATATCCGTACAGGCAACTGTTGCATTACCTGTAAAACCTGGCTGACATTTACAGACAAAATGTCCAGGTAGATTACAACATTCAGCATTTTCACCACATAAAGCAGCTAATGATGGTATTTCACATTCATTGATATCTGAATAAATGTTAAAATAAATGATGATTAAATATAATGAATAATTATCTTGATATTCCTTTTTTTCAAGAATTATTGATGAATGTTTTTTTCGAAAATAATAGCATCAGAAAGTTAGGGGAAAAAAACTCATCATGCATTCATTATTATTAGGGTGGAAAATCAAAAGATTGAAAAAAAACAAATGATGATAATAATTGTTATTATTATCGTGTGTTTTTTACCTTTACAGGAAAATCCATCGCCTTCATATCCGGGAAAACATGAACAATAATAGCTACCCATTGTGTTTGTACAATGAGCAAATACATCACATGGTCGATATTTGCATTCATTTTCATCTATAGGATTATCGTTGTTGTCGTCATCGTCGTTGTCCAGAAAAAAAATAAAAAAAGGAAAAGAATTAGAATTTTACATTTCAAGGGGATAAAATAAGAAAAACAAACAATTTTAAAATTGATGAATGATTTGAGCAAAAAAAAAAAAAAAAAAAAATCTAAATTGTTTTTATTCTCGGGCACTAAACTTTATATCCCGATAAAGATTATAGTGTAGAAAAAAAATGTCTCACAGAATTTGTAAATAAATATCTTTTTAAAAAAACAAACAAACAAACAGCGAATCTGACATTGATTATGATGGATGAAATTCGGTATCGAAACAACATTAAAATTACCGATCATACATGTCAACTAATGTTTTGTTAATTACATCATCATCTCCATGCATAACATTTTTTTGTGTAATAAGAAAAACAAAAATTCAAATAACCAGAAAAAAACTTGAAAAAAATGAAAAAAAAATTGAAAGAAATCTTCCTGCAAACAAAAATTGCCCATCAAATTATATAACAATTTTTGTTTTTTTTGTTTGTTACTTCCACCGAATGGTAGATGAAGATGAGAAAAAATTTTTCCCACTTATATTCGATCATTTATATTTTGAATGTCATGTATGTACTCTACAAATAACCGACCATCTCAACAGAGATCATCATCATCAATTTGTCTATCAAAAAAAACAGATATTTTTTACGGCCAAAAAAAATATGAAAAATTCCTGCAAATAAAAATGAATAATCCATTCATTTTGTACATTCAGAAGGAAAAACATAACGATAATAATTTCACTTCAAATTACTCAACAACGATTAACAGTGTTTGGATAATAAACAATAAACAAAATCTTTTACATTAAAAACGCTAAAAGAGTTATATAATTTCAAACTAAAATTGCATAACATGACATGACATGACACCGAAATTCTTTCTCTCTCTCTCTATGTGTGTTCCTGCCTAAAATATAATTTTCATATAAAGATATTTAGATGAACAAAAAAAATTAGAAAATTTTTCTATGTTTAAAATAATTATAATTATCATATTAATGGACACGGATGATGATGATCGGATAATCTGGACAATTTTAGATGGAAAAAAATGTAATTTTTTTTCATATACGGTAGCTTAATGGATACAATCCTGTTGATGATAAATGTTTTTTCATACTTGGTTGATGAGAATCACGAAATTTTGTTTTTTTTTAATATTTTAGATTTTGGTCACTCACTATCGCTTTACTCGCGCAAATCCTGCTCAAATGAACAGGTGAGCAAGTGGAAAAAAAATGAAATTTTAATTTTCTTTTTCGTAGCATAAATTTCGGTAAAATGAAAATTTCATTTTGCAAAAAAAAACAACAAAATCATCAACGATTATCACTAATCATCATGTGAGAAACAAAAAAAAAATTCATTATCAAATCTATAGTGTGATGAATCAAACACTGTTCGTTTAGTGCCTTAATTGAATTTTCGCCAATTTTTCAAAGAAAATTTTTCAATCAAAAACCAAAAAAATTCATCAACAAGACATGATTCAAGAATTTTGAAATCTTGAAAATTGAAAATTAGAATTTCATTTTTATCGAATCACGATGATATTCAATGAGAAAAACATTTGATTAGATAAGATTTAATTGATCATTTAATAATTGGGTGTTAGATGATTAAAAATTTCCAATTAAGATTTTATTTAGATTTTCAAATCGATCATATAATCTTAATGTCAAATGTTTGTATGGCTTAAAAAATAAAGATTTGACACATCCTTTCTCATATTTATTCATTAAAAATCATTAATCATCATCATCATCATTGAATTCATAAGTGTCATTTTCATTTGGAAAGCCAGCAAAGAAAAAAATTCAACAATGTCAAAGTTATTGCTGTTGAAAAGTAATTGAAGTGTGTTTTGCTAAAATGCTATAAAAGGTAAATAAGAGATAAAATCTTTTCGAAATCATTTTTTTTTCTAATTCTTGTCATCATCATAATGGAGTTACTTTCGTGATTTTTTTTTGTGTGTATGTTTATCATCAATTTTCATCATCCATGAGAAAAAAAATTCATTATGAATTTACAGGTGACAATCAGTTGTTGTTGCTAATATTTGAATTGAGTTGTTTGAACAAAACAAAAAATCTAAATATTTGCAATAAATTTTTTTCTTTCTCTTTTTCCTTTCCTTTTTGAAGTTTTTCTCATCTTTTTCAATTGATCATCCTCATCAGCCATTGGCAAAGGGCGTACTGTATATTCACTACTTTATATTGTTTTGGTTAGTTTTGACAATTTTTTTTGATTGTTTTCAAAGAACAAAACAATGAAAAAAAACTACCGAAATCTAAAAAATGATAATTACTTAAAATGATAATAATTTGAATAAATTCTTAAAAACAACGATGATGATGATAATAATAGATAATGAAAACAATATAAAAGAATCTCATTAAAGCTTGACAACAAACAAACAAAAAAATACGACAAACTTACCAGGTATATCACAACTTTTACCACCAAATCCATCATTACAATAACAAAGATGATCCAGGCATACGCCATTTGTACATTTAGATTGTTTTGGATGACAATTATCTAGTTAGTTAAAAAAAAAGATCAATTATAAAAGGTGGAAAAAAATAAATAGTATAATTAGTATTCGTATACATGGTAAATGTTAATTATTATTATCTTGACCGTTACTTGATCATAGTATTATAATCAAAACCAACGGAAATGAAATCCAAAATGATTTACATAACAACAACAACAACAATCTTAAAATAAATATACATACCGTTTAAACAATTTGTACATTGATTACGATCATTACATTTCAATTCTAATGATACTTCATCAGAACCTTGAAAACATTGAGGTAAACCATCACATAGTTTAGATAATTCAAATAATTGTAAAAAATCGGTCGATTCATTTACTTGACAACCGAAATAACCATCTTCAAGATTTAATACAAAAATTTCACGTTGTACATAAGGACTAGGCCATTGTGGACGATATTGTGCATGTACAATTTGTGTTGATAATAATAATGAATAAAATAATAATTTTAATAAAAAAATGAACATAAATAATGGAGAAAATTTATTAAATTTTAAATCAAAATGACGAGATTGATCAGATGATTGTCTAATAATGTTGAACAATAATGTTGAAATAAAATTCATCATTAATGATAATCGATATTTAAATATTGATCGGTGTTTTTGTTTTGATGCTATATGATTAGATTTCATAACATTTGATTGTACGGGATTATCGTCATCATTATTATTATTATTATTGTGAATTGTTGATTCGGCGGTTATCAATATTGGCAGCTCATTCATCATCATCATTTTCACTGATGATTTTTGTGATGAAACAAATTGATTATTTATCGATAATGATGATGACCAATATAGTCCATTATCGTCATCATCATTATTATCCATCGGATGATGATGATGATAATTTGATTGTTTAATTTTCATTTCATTTAATTATGTTTGAAGAAAACAAAATATTTTCACCAATCTTTATTCTATATAATCAAAACAAAAGATAATTTCAAATTTAGATAGAAATCAACAAACAAATGATTTAAAACAAATGTGAGAAAGAAAAAAAAATTCTTTTTGCCAATTTTTTTTCAAATTTCAAAAAAAATCGAAAAAAAACCTGTTGCACTTCAGTATCAACACACACTCTCTCGCGCACACACATACATGGAGGTCTTCGGAAATTCAAATGTTCGAATATATTCTTCAACAGAAAAGAAAAACATCACTATAGTGGACGGTCATTTTTCAATTCGTTGTTGTTTGAACTTTTTTCTTTTTTTTTCTTCTTTTCAAAACTGAATGTAAAATAAGTGATTTTAGTTTCGCTGGATAGTAAAACAAAAAACAAAAATCACATCTCATCTGTGTGCACATTTACATCATCATCATCATTGTCGGTAATTTTTTTTTATATTCTAAGACAAAATGAATAAACGATTATCGTCATTAAGATGATGAGATGGACATTCTATATGGACAAGGCAAACATGGATTTTGTTTTGTCGACGAAGATTTTTTTTAAACATCCACCATCCACCACTACTTTTGAAGATTTCCACTATTAAATAATGAATTCATCATATAAAAAGAGAAGAATTTCAAACAAATTAAATACAGCTATTTTTTCAGAAACAGTTTTCCGTTCATCTATCTAATATGTAAATTATCTCAATTGAAAAACATTGGGAAATGATCAATGATGATTCTGCTTTTTCACTTCATTCATTCATTTATTTATTTTCCTTATAGAATCGAACCGATTGATTTATCGAATCAAATGTATGAATTGGGAAGGAAAAATTGATTTTGTTCTGATTCAAAACAACAAACAACAACAAAAACAAAAATGACACATTAAACGCACGCAAATATCGTATGAATACAATATTCAAAAAAAAGATCAATTGAATGTTAATGGATTGTAAATAATGTTATTATTGCGTGTGTATGTTAGAATCTTTTTCTTTTTTTTTACATAATAAACATCAATTCTTTTCCGAAAACAAAAATCCTTTATGTTTGATTCAAAAAAACAAAAACAAAGTTCATGTTTTCCTATATGGGAAAAAAGTAAATTTTTCTAAAAAGTTCATATTGAATACATTTACGTGCTTTGCATACATCATCATCATCACCATCACGTGTGATAATTTTTTCACACATTTTTTTATGTAACAAAAAAAAAGAAAAAATTTGAATAAATAAATTTTTCTTTTTTAAATATTCAAAATCTTTTCATTGTAATCAGATGATGATGATGACCACCGGTCAATGGCCATCAGGATAAATACGTGCCGTTTACTACTATAATCATCATCATTATATAATTCAATCCAAAAAAAAGGAAGAATATTTTTTCCAGAAACAAACGACAATAAAAATGTAAATTGCACACTTCATTTACCGAGAAATAATAATGATAA